TATGCTTGCTTATGAAAAAGATTAGTGACTTTCCCCTGTGATGCCTTGGACACGTCCCAGGAGGGAACATGGGCAGTTGGCCGTACCGTGTTCTGCAGTGTCCGGGCGATCACCCGCCAGAGGGCGCCCTTGCACCTCTGGTGGCAAGCGGAGGAAGTGCGCAGGCCAAGCTTCCACCATCCCTGTCCTGCCACCCCGTGGGCTCCTGGTGGACAGCAATTCCTGTGCCTCTTCCAGAAGCCGGCCAGCCCCCCACCCCCACCCCGCAATCCGAGCCTGAGACGTCCAGGGACTAGCCCGGGTGCACCTTCCTGTCTGGCTCAGGCTCACATCACAATCTGGGCGTTGGCAGGTGCCCCAGGGGCACCTCAGTGAACCAGAGCCAGGGTCCTGTAGGCTTTGTGTGGAGAGAGGCCATCTCACACCTTCCCTTCGCCCCAGGAGAAATTCATGCTTTGCAAGCTCACCATTAAAACCTGAATTTGGGGTTCATTTGTTCCCTTGAGACACAAAGTGAAAGACTAACTGGGAAGTGAGTTCCTTGTGGAACTCAGTAAAGCGCAGGAGGAGGGTGTTTTTGCATTACATAAAACACAACCTGCCAGGCTTTTCCCTGGAGAGCACAGAAAACCCTGTGAATCAGTCCCAGCGTGCCCAGGGTGCTCAAGATGGCTCTGTGGGACTCAGGATCAGAGTTCTGGGTGGGCTTGGGGGATGCAAGTGTCACAGCCCAACCTGAGATGAGAGGGGGCCTTTGCAGAGCCAAGAGGCCTCACTACAGCCTGACCCTCAGTATAGCCTCTGTGTAGCCAAGCCATGGAGCCTTTGGAAGGCGCTCAGCCTACATGTGGGCTGGGTTTCTCCCGATGCCTTTGTAAAATGGAGTCCACTGGTGATTCCCACTCACAGGGGTAGAGGGATAAGAATCTGAGAGTGACCAAGAAGAGGCTTAGTGGTGGGGAACCTTGGTTCCTTTCCCCTTTCTCCATGTCTGTAGCCTGTGTGAGCTCTGTTTTAGACAGGTACTGGCCTGTTTTGTCTTTATTTGGCTAGATCTCAGAAGGCTTAATTAGGAATTATCTAGATCCCACGTGTCAAAAATCTATACTTCCAGCTTCTAACACTCGGGAAACTGGGTTAACCCAAGCCCACAGTCCTGGCCACTGGACTGTAGGGCAGTTGCCACTGACCTGGTCACTGCCCCAGTGACAGTCCCTACACAGATCTAAGATGGCTTGTGTGAGATGCAGGCGTGTGACTCTCAGGGGCCTTGTTCCTCATTGTTTGTTGGTACCAGGACAAACAATGGCTGAATATTGCTGCTGGTTGAATACTGACTGTGTGGAGCCAAAGGTTCACTGGGAACACAATGGAACATCTCTGAGTAGGTCTGAATCTAGAATGGGCTCACATACAGGGGCAGACTGGCTTCATCTGAGATCACGGCCATTTTCCTCTGTGGCTGAGGTTTTCCTCATGGTGATAAAATGTCTGCAGCAGCTCCAGTCCTCAAACTCTCACACCCTTCAAGTCAGGCAAGGAAGAACAAAGACCTTCATCCCAGCAAAAGCCTCATTGGTTGAGGGGTTGGCTGACCCAATTGGAGCCCATGAAAAACATTAATTCCCTCTCAGATGAAACAGAAGATTTGTATGTAAGCAAAGCCAATGTGTGGCACATGGTAGAAACCGGGACTTTGTTTCTTTATGAGAAGGGAAGCTTGGCCTGGGGCAGCCACGAGCACGGACACCTCTTCAAGAGGACAGACTGAGTAGGAAAGCTGTGAACTCTACATATAGTAAAGTGAGACTGGAAGAGACTGATCCATTTCAGTTCTTTACAGAAGAGGAAATGAGGCTTAGAGAATTCGGGAAGCTTGTGCTAGCTGAAGTGGGAACCAGCCTTGAAACACAAGGGCTGGAAGTCAGCTCCCTTCTCAAAGCCATCATGAGTGGTCATTCTTTATTGGCATTTATGTCTGTTTTGATTCCCGCTAGTACAGAACCCTGTCTTGTCCCTCATAAGTATTTCATTCCTTTCCAGCAGCAAAATCCCCAATGCCCAAATGCATGTGTGGCCACCTTCTTCTCCACACTGGGCAGCTGGAGGGAGCTGTGCAGTCCTCCCCAACCTGGCACCAGGGTCTGGAAGGTCACAGTGAGTGTGATAGACAGAGGAAGAGGCTGGGGAGGGATGAGACTGACCATTGTCCCTAATGGGGCTCAAGCCCCATTGGCCTGACTCAGGGGCCTGATCTTGATGACTGGGCTAAACTGCATTGCAGCAGGAATTCAAAGATGCCTTTTGAAAGCCTGGGGTGGTGGCTCATGCCTGTCACCAAAGCACTTGGGAGGCTGAGGCAGGGGCAGGCTGTGAATTCATGCCCATGTAGGACCTTTAGGACCTTACAAAGTTTCCAGCAGCCTCCTGGTCTCTACCACCCATCTGCCTTTGGCGTCTGCTCCACAGGTGAGCTCTGTGGAGAGTGGATGTGAGTCCCACCTGTGTGATTTATATTTACCCATTTGTTTACCACCATATGATTCATTCTTTGCCGAAGACACAAATTTCCATTTGCCATCTTCCTCCTGGCAAAAAAACTTGCTCCAGGGGTCGTGCTGTGCAGATCAGATGGTGATGAAATCTCCAGCTTTGAAAAGCTGAAATGTCTTTATTTTGCCTTCATCTCCTAGGGTTATCTTCTTTGGATGTGGCATTCTGGGTCAGTGGTCTTTCTCTTGGCTCTGTAGAGAAGTGACTCCATTGTTTCTTGGCTTCCATTGCTTGTTATTAGAAGTCTGTAGTGTCCCAGGCCTCCTGGTTTGCAGTGTGTTCTGTCTGGTGGCTTTCCAGAGGGTCTGTCTTCAGTTTTCTATAGTTTTAATGATGTAAGGTTGTCTTTACATTTATCCTACTTGGTGTTCACTGAGACTCTTGAATCTATGAGCTTGTCTTTTACCAAACTTGGCTAATTTGGGCCATTATTTCTTTTATCTGTTTCTTCTTTTGGTCTCTCTCCTTCTCTTCTAAGACACCTTTTGATATTACCCCATAGTCCCTGAAGCTTTGTATACTTTTTCCCAATCTTTATGCTTTTACAGTCTTCACACTGGCTAATTTCTATAGAAACACACATTGCTGTCCCTTTCCACTCTCTGCTCTCTGGCCTGGCTCCCACTTTGTGTGTGCTGTTTCTCTTTCTTTGTAAGTGATGCTGGGTACATGAGGTGATAGAGTTCAGTGCTGCCTGGGATAGAGCGGTTGGCTGGGGATGAGGAGAGACCTCCGAGAGATACTGAATCCAGCAGAGTATGGACAGAGTCAAGACAGGTGGAGGAAGGCTTGGGTCTGCCTCTGGCCATAGAAAATCTGCCCAATAGCCCACCTGGAAGCATCATCATCCCACTTGGCAGAGACTCTGTGGGGCTATGATGATAAAGATAATGAAATGACCATGAGCATGTGACTCGGAAACAGAAATATGGCCTTCTTTGACAGGGCAAGCTTTGAAGATGAGTTCTGGCCTCTAAATTCTCAGGATCAACACTGTCCATGATCCACTTTCTTCAAAGCGGCATTCACTTTGAATGTGAACCAGAATCTGCTAGCTCTGTTCTCCTACCATATCGCAGGCCTGATCTTGATCTGGGTGTTAGACCACATGGGGGACGATGGAAATGCACAGAGTCTTTTCAGGTCTATCATCCTCATCTGCATGAGAGCAAATGGGGGCTTGACTTGGCATAGTTGTGTGAGAAGTTCCAAAAGTCTCCCTGCATGTGAGGTTTTTGAGGGGTGTGTGTTCCCTCCTTCTTATTAAGCCTACAGTCACCACTGGTGGAAATTTATCCATTCTATTACCTGAGCAACCGTCTACCCTTTATACCCTGCGTAGGCATGAGGGTACTGCAGTGAATAAACAGATATAAGCTTCTCCCTCATGGCCTTTGTGCCCCACTCTGCCATGACCTCTCCTGATTCCCAGTCTTGCTTTTAGCTTCGTTCTTGGCTGCTAGAAACTCAAATCCAGCTCTGAAGAAGTCAGCTTATCCAGCTATTAAGTCACTAACTTGGTTTTCTTGTTAGTGGCATTGGAATCGTTACCCCTGTTTGACAGAGTCATTAGGCAGTTAGATGGAGATGGCCCAGTCGGCCTGCTTGGCACACAGAAGCTCTTCTGACAATGTTCACTCCTCACGGGGCTCTGCAGTAGGAAGATTTCATTTTCTCTCTGGTGTTTTGTAATTGTCTCAGTAGTAAATATGCTGTGCTGCTCTAAGAACACTGGAATGCTTCCCATCTCCCCAATGTCAACTCACAAACCTCTCCATTGAGTTCCCAGGCTCTCTGGGAGCTCAGCATCTTTTATCCAAAAGTCTTGGGCCCGGAAGTGTTTGGGAATTTTTGCTTGTGTGTAATGAGATAGTTTAGGGATGTGACCAAGGTATAAACACGAAATTAATTTATATTTCACATATACCTTATACACAGCATCCTAAGGTGATTTTATGTAAAATCTTAAGCAATTTTTCAGATGAAACAAAGTTTTCTGGTGTGGAATTTTCCTCATATGGCATCATGTTTATACTCAAAAACTTTTGAGAGCTCGGTAGGCATGTGGTGGCACATGCCTATAACCCCAGCACTCAGAAGGTGGAGGCAAGGAGAACCTGGCCAACAGAATGAGCTTGAGGTTAGCCTGAGCTACATCAAAGCCTGTTATGAAACGAACCTTTAAGAGTTTGGGAGCATTTTGGGTTTTATATCTTGAGATCAGGGGTACTAAACCTGTATGCCAAATCCCCTTCCTACCTGAATTTACCCAAATTCCTCCCACCCTTGTGCTCATGGGACTTTTGAACTGAGCTCTCTTTGCCCCCCCATGGCCCTCTCCTCCAGTCCCCCTCCCCATTAGAAGTGCCCTAGGTCCCCGACGGACTTCTCCACCCCAACCTCGAAGACCTTTCCTGATCCCTGTCTCCTTTCTCCTCCTCCCCTAGGCTACGGACACGCTGCACCTGGTACCGACGCCGGCAAGGCCTTCTGCATGTTCTATGCCGTGCTGGGCATCCCTCTGACGCTGGTCATGTTCCAGAGCCTGGGCGAGCGCATGAACACGTTCGTGCGCTACCTGCTGAAGAGGATCAAGAAGTGCTGTGGCATGCGCAACACCGAAGTGTCCATGGAGAACATGGTGACCGTCGGCTTCTTCTCCTGCATGGGTACCCTGTGCATCGGGGCAGCTGCCTTCTCCCAGTGCGAGGAGTGGAGCTTCTTCCACGCCTACTACTACTGCTTCATAACTCTGACGACCATCGGATTCGGCGACTACGTGGCGCTGCAGACCAAGGGCGCGTTGCAGAGGAAGCCATTCTACGTGGCCTTCAGCTTCATGTACATCCTGGTGGGGCTGACCGTCATCGGCGCCTTCCTCAACCTGGTGGTCCTGCGCTTCCTCACCATGAATACGGACGAAGAGCCTCTGGAGGGAGAAGGCGGCCAGCTGCTTCCCGGAGGAAACCCCAACAGCGTGGTGGTCCGTGTGTCGGAGGAGGGCCGCGAGCGCCAACCCGAGTCCTTCTTCAAGAGATGTGGCCGATCCCTGTGCGCCTTCTGCTTCCGCCGCGTGACCCAGAACGACATCCAGGAAGACGACGACGACAAGCTGGCCCCGGCATCCCTGCGCTCCATCTCCTACAAGGTGGAGGAGATCTCCCCAAGCACACTGAAGAACAGCCTCTTCCCGTCGCCCCTGGGCTCCGTGTCTCCGGCGATGCACAGCTGCACGGGTGACAACCTCCAGCTGACCCGCCGCCGCAAGTCCGTCTAAGTGTGGGGAGGGAAGTAGGACTGAAGAGCCTTTTGTCATGTGGATGTAAGTTCCATTGGTCCAGCCCCTCCCCTCCTTATTTATTTACCCTTTTTCTTTTTTGTTGTGATTACAGTCATCACCATTCCTTTCTCCCCTCCCTCCTCTTCTGGCCTCATTTCTCCCCTCTCTTCCAGCCAGGCAGAGCAGTTCAAAGGGAAAATAGAGACCCATCCTCTCTGAAACTCACACCTGAGCATGAAGCATGGATCCCTTCCTCCCTCCCCAGCAAAGTATGCCTTACATTTCTACCCGGCCACATTCTCTTTCTGGGGTGGCTTTCCTAGGACAGGTGTGAGACCAACAGCACCAGACAGAGCTGAGAGGATGCCCAACTCGATGTTGCTCATCATGTTGGGAGCCTTTGACTGCCTACCCACAGTCGTGTCTCCAACCTAACCCCTCTCTCCTTTCCCAAGGACTGGGTGGCTGTGTGTACGTGTGCGCAGTACGAGTGTGTATGCGTCTGTGTGCAGGTGTGTCGTGTTGACAAGATGGAAAGTATCAGGTATCCATTTCCCTTCCCACTCACACAGTCTTCTCAACAGCCCTCTCCCGGCTGCTTCCAGACCAAACAGAAAACCAAACTCTGAGGTTTCCGACTTACCTCCTTGCCAAATTGAGCACACTCCATAGAGAACTTTTTTTTTTTTTTTCCACCTGAGAGAGATGTATCATGGGCATAGTTTCAAACAGCCAGGTTTCTTAATCACATTAACTTCTTTTCAGGGGGTATGTAGATGGGCAAGACTACACGGATCAGGTTAGCTTGCCAGTTGAAAAAGGAAATTTCAGAAGCATGCACTTTGTGGAACTGGTATGCATCACGGGGCAGGAAAGCAGATGTAGCAAAGGAATAATGGAAAGCCACAGAATTAACTTAATCAAGACACTTTTAATTTTAGCACTTCCAGTTCCAACCGTTTTCCACACAGCTGGAATGTCAGGGGAGACAGGAGATTGCTGGGACCCAGAGTATTTATTTTATTATTCCCCTCTCGGTGACTATGACGATGACTTTGCAGCCTCTACCTGCATGGATGAGAATCCTAGTTTTGGAATGCTTGGATGAGAGTGGGTATCGGGATGTGGATGTAGTTTCTTTTCCTAATAAAAGTGATAGGGCATTCCTTGTTTCAATATATAGAGAGATATATATTTCAAGAAAGATGGTCTCTAATTGCGTTTGATCTGTAAATAGGGAAAAGTTCATGTTGGTCTCAGGAAGAGTTTAGAGGCTGTATCTTGGCCTACTGGGAACTTGTCGATCTCAGGGGATGCTTTGTCTAGGTAGTGGAGAAATTCCTCCCCTCTTGATAGAGAATGAACCCCGTAGGGGACAGTTTAGGCACATCGTAGGCCCTTCCAATGGCAGGAGACGAGGGCTCAGCTTCCACATTTACTGAGGGACTCTAACTTCTCTCACCTCCATCCCCGCCATCTCTAAAAGTCACCCATTCACTCATCCTCTCACTCCTTCCTTGCACACTGGAAGTTCCTGGCTTTTGGATGGAAATGGGCTTTGGCTACACTACGCACATACAAGGAACGCACTTATGGTCTTCAGGATTTCTTAAAGGACACAGCATCCAAATGCCACCAGTCCCGAGCATGTGTGCCATTGGGCTGAAACCAGGAGCATCCAGGACTCCTCTGGAAAGTCTATGCATGCACCTTAATGATACACCCTGTGTTGAAATATCCCTTTCGTCTAGGACACGGGACCTTCAAAAGGAGTCTGTGAACCTTAGACTCTCTTGGCCAAAGCTGACAGTTTTCAAACTTCGAGGTCTTTATCAGTTCACTTGTTTGAGATTTTGTTGTATGGAATGCCCTGCACAGGGCTCTCAAGTCTGTCCAGAGAATAGAAGCAATCGATCTTCTTGAATGTTTTTCCTCTGCAAAGAGATTATTGGCTTTTGCAGGTATGACAATCCTGATGCCCGTTTTCAGAGTACTTCATGCCTCGAAGGAGGCTGCCTGGAAAATGTGTAGGAATCCCTCTGAAAACTGTTGTAAGACTTGCCCTCAAATGGGGTGTGTGTGTGATCACCCTTGATCTGTACATGGCGCGGAGCCACTGAGAGGACCAAGGGTCTGCTCGCCGTCACTGAGCCAGTCTTCGATGGTACCTAGACAGCTGTCTCAGTCCCTACCCAGAAGGGTCCAAAAGGTGGACTCCCCAACACCAAGGTGTCCTGACTCAGCCCTCCAGTGAGGGACCCTGTATGTCTCCACAGGGTCAAGTACTAGGCCCAGGAGTCAGTCAAAGGGACGTAGGCTCAACCTCTCCTCAGAGCTGACGTCCCACTAATGTATCTGTGCAAAGTGATCACACTGTGCTAGAAGGCTTCAATGGCAGGGAGTGCCCCCTCTTTCCAGAGAAATATGGACAATGTTATATTCTCGTAGAGCTGACTCCCCCGTCTGCAAGGTGAAGGGTTGTAAAGCCTTCTTCCTCTTCGTGTCGTGAACCCTGACTGACTTGCAGTTGGTCCTGGTTCTTGTAGCCTGCTTGAGCCTTCGGCTCTTTACTGTCAGTTTAGTTTTTGAAGGAAGAGCACCAAGTTGTCTCATCCAAGCTCAGCATCAGAGCATGGAGGGAGGAGGCAGATCTTGGCTTGGACCATCTGTTCCCTAGCATGGGACCTGGCAGAGTTGTGCTCTGGGCACATCCAGCAATGTGCTGTCTTGGGATGAGGGCAGGGAGAAGTCAGGTCTCAAGGGGTCGCCTCTTTACAAGATGGGAATGGGCCATCTCCATCAAGAGCCCACCGCACAGCCAGCAATCGAGGTGGAGCATCTCCAAGTGGTAGGACTTGGCTGTCTCCCTCAGTCTCAGAGGAGGAGACTGATTCAGGAGGCTTCACGCTTGTCTGAGGACAAATGGCCAGAGTGTAGGTCTTTGGGCTCCTTTTGCTGTTGTCCTGGCTGCTTGTGTTGTTGCCGTTTTGCACAGATTTCCAAAGATCCCTTGTTGCTGGACGTTGTTGTATCTCTGGCCAATGCCTCTCTCCCTCGTGTGCACTTGGCAACTTCTTTCAGCCGAGTGATTACTGTATCCTCCAGTTAACCATGCCCCTTCAGCAGCGAGGGAGATGACCTTGTGCCTGGTTATTTCTATAAGGGAATTCAGCTTCAGGAACACTGGAAGTTGGCTTACTGTCCAGTTCCTGGAAGCCAAAATGCCTTGTATATACTTAAGATATCTGACTCACTTGAACTCTTCTTCACTAAGTGATCTCCATCTTTACTCCATGAAGGACAAGAGGAAGTAGGCAGTGATACAGAGAAGCCCAGGGCTTTGGGCTTGCTGACTTCTAAGTGCTCATACCCTTTTGACCCTCAAAGGTGCCCATCCCAAACAGAAGGTGCTGTGTCAACCATCTGCCTGTTAAGATTTTTGGACATCAGAGTGAACTTCCCTCTGGGTTTTGAGTTTCCTGGTTAGCCCCCATACTGGAACCAGCTCCGTTCTACTTGTCCCACTCAGTCTCGAGACCAGGGCAGCAGCCTCCAAGCCCAGAAAGTCTGTATTCCAGATTCAGTCACTGTCTCCGAAGGGCCCGTGTTATCCCAGGGTGGGTGATTGATTGATAGGGGGGCCTGCACTCAGCATGACTGTAGCAGGTGGACACACCTGAGTGTGTTGAGAGGACACCTGGAGAGTAGATAAGCTGAGACAGGTCATTTTTATCTGACTCACCATTCTGTCCACTCAATGGTTGCCTGAATCCATGAATCATGGCTTAGTTCTAAAAGTGGTGTGACTTGGATTCACATGTCTGAAGTGCATTTATGCTGGAGTCAAGGTCTTTCCAGGACTCAGGAAGCATCCTAGGTGAGGAGAGAGCAGCAGGGCAGGGTCCAGTTCCTGTGTTATGTCTCAATGGGCTCTCGGAAGTCATTTCAGTCTTTGGGCCTCTGAGGGTTTCTCTGTAGGTTCATTGAACAGGATGGTACAATGTGGGTGGGATTTAGGGGCACTTTGCACAAGGTGAGCTTGACCCAAGAGGCCTGTGGCCTGGATGTTCTGGTCACACTTGAAGATTTGGCAGGAGCTGGAAAGATGAAGATAGGCAAGCGCTGGCAGAGAGAGTGAGCATTGGTCATTATGTGGGCCAAGGCTTGATGTATCATGGGTTCCCCAAAGTGCTAGGTGTAGATTGGCTTTCCGTGGTTCCATCTTGACCACGCCTCGGTAGAGGCTGCTGCTTCAGGAAAACAAAAGTTACCACCATGATCCCTCCCCTTCCAACTTAAAAAAAAAAATCCCAGGGTTACAGAGAAGTTGAGAGAACAGCACCATGAGCCTCCCTATACCCCTCACCCAGAGCCCCAGCCTCAGTACCTCTCCCCTCGACACTCTGAGATGGCCGGAGGATAAGGTGGCATGTCTACAGCTTTTAAGTGGTTCAGCCAAAGATAACATTGTATATCCACCATGAAAAAGTGCATTCTTTTACATAGTAGTGCCATTGTCAAACCTAAGAAACTTAGTATAAGATTATCTAATATAATAATGTAACGTGTATGCAGAATTACCCAAGTGTCCCAAAAATGTCCTGCTGAGCTTGTTTGTGAATCTAAGATGCCATCCAAGATCACACCCCACACCTGCTTGTCTTGTTGTCCCCAAACCCCCCAATTGAGGGCATCTCCCTCACTGTGTTTGTGTCTCTTGAGGACCCCAGGCCCGTAGTCTTGTAGAATGCTCAAGATCTGCTGTTGTCTGCTTGTTCCCTCAGGTTGAGGAGCTGTTGACAAGAAAACAATGTAGTTGATGTTGTTTAGCTCTGATTTATACATTTGATGTTTGTCTTTCTGGGGACCTCTGTGGTTACTGCTTTTGTTGCGTGAATAAATAAGTCATATTAAATGTTGTTTTCCTCTGTTAGGGGACCTAACTGCAGCTTCAAGAGAGGCGTCCATGGATGCTGGGTCTCACTGTGAAGCCCAAGCAGGCTTCGGATTTCTGATCTCTCCCGGGGACCTCTTCCACGAGGGGCGAGCATCAGCACCCTTTCCCCTAAACACCTGTGGGGATGGCCCAGCTATACCTAGACAGAAGGCACAGAGGCATGCTCGTTGTAGGGTCTTTTCCCTGCAAATCTCCTGGGCTGCCTTGGCATAGCACGACTCCATGAGTGACTATGACCACCACACACTTCTCCTTTGCTACCATGGGAGTGTGGTTGGTTGTCATGTCACTGCCCCGGCCATCAAGGGCCATCATTTGTGATTTCTGTCATTGAGATGTTTGCTCTGGCAGGCTCTAGACCACAGCTCTCTCCCTCCTGACCCCACAAAACATACCTGCTGTGGCCATGTTACCTACCCCCGCTCTCCTACGGTCTCCTTGTTGCTCAGCAGCCTGGAGGCACAGGGGGACCCTCCTGCCCCTTTTTGCCCCTTTGTGGACTTAGTCATGTCCTCTTCCGGGTTCCCCTGATGCTTTCTTCTCCCGGATGAACACACTGAGAAGCAAACATCTGGTAGATCAGCTTAGGAGTAGAGGATTCAGGAAGCACACACAGAGGGGAGGGAGGGAGGCCCTGGGACGAAGACGGGTCCAAGCATGAGGTACTGGTTGAAGTAGACACAGGGTACTTCGATGCTAATCCCATTGCTTGCCATTCAGTTGCACGTGCCTGAGGGACGGAGTGTACCACTAGCAGCCGGGCCCAGGGGTTGCTCCCAGCTGGGCACTACACCTTGGAGGTTGGGGGGGTGCTCACACTACAGAAGCATGCTGGGACACATTTCTCCCTGTAGTCGATGGGCCCCATGATGGGAACATCACCAGGGAATTGGGAGGGTCAGTGTTTCTTGGGGAAGGTAATTCTGGTGGAGGGAGGGCGGTTGGGAGATCATGCACAATGACAAAGGACCCTTCGCCTCTGTAGCCCTGGGAGAGGCAACACCTGCCCCCCCCCATAGGGCTACATGGTGAAATGGAAGCTGCACAGACTGGCATTTTACACGTACAAGACAGCCTCTGCCGTTCACAGGTGGTTGTGCTTTGGAGCCTCCGGCCCTTATTTTCCTCGTTCTTCCGCTGGTTCTAAGCGGTTCCTGATGTACAGGCTGCTTGTGAGAACTAGATGGCAATAGTCACTGGACATCTGCTTTGCTCTGGAGAATGTTCTCTGTGCTTCCTGGGAAAGTATCTCCCCTTGGCCCAGCTCAGGGCCTTCCTCAGATCAATCTGTCGTTGCTCTGTGGAGGCTCCAAACATGTCGGGAACTACAGCCCCACATCTGGTGCAGATGCCGCAGATGAAACCGTCACATCTCCCTGGATACTTCCTCTGCTGCTGGGTGGGGCTGGCGGGCCAGAGGGCAGCCAGAACACTTCAGTTCCACAGGTGACAAGGCTCAGAAGACCTGGGAGACTGGAACGCCAAGCCAGGTGTCTTCAGATCTCAGAGGGCAGGTGTTAAAGCATGTGGATGGGGTGGTGAGGGCTGGGGTCCTATGACACAAAGGATGACATAAGAGGAGGGAGGGGGCAGTGCCTCCGTGGAAATCACATGGGTGGGGCTCACACTGGGGCAAAGGCTTCATATGGGTTCCAGTGGGAGAGAAGACACCTCCAAGCAGGAGGATACATCTGATGGATGTGCCTATTTGCCGGGTTCGGAGGCCGCTCTGCAGTCAGCATGAACAAAATTCCAGGATGGGGTCTGTGTTCCGTTTAAGTCTGTGATTGTCATTATTAACCTTGTAGACCTTTGTCCTCAGGCGCCTTCTTCGTACCAGTGGACCAGAGGACACATCCAGGACCAACGGTAGTGAGTTCCCTGGCGTGAATGGCAGGCAGCAGGCCCATGCAATTGGCAGAGGCTGCCACCTGCACAGGACAAAGGGCTTTGCTGGACCCCTCCAGTAGCACTGTGTGACCCTGGCATGTCTCCCTTCCTGGGAGGTAGACCTGAGAATGATGTAGAGCACATCAAGCCTGTCCTCCTGGGCAACCATCTGTGAAGGAGGGATCTGGAAGGGTGGGATGGTTGTGAAAGGATAGGGTGGAGCCCTTTACTGCAGATGCTGGTGTGACTCAACTTCTAGAACAGAGGGTATCTTGGTTTTGTCTGAATGTGTATGGGGACACAGAGGTGGGCAGCGGAAGGGTGTGGGCTTGGTCTTCCTAACACCTACCTTATTTGGCATGGTGACAGCACCGACATGGTGAAGAGCTCTACTGGGGCTGGGTTATGGTCTGGAGGGAGACGCCAGGAGTGGAGGGAGCTTGAGGATACTTGGGATAATTTTTTGGCTTCATATCTTCCTCTTACTGTTGTGTCCTAACTCTGACCTCTTTGGAGACTCTAGTCCAGTTTTGGTGAGACGTTGGTATCCAGAGAACATGCATGGTTTGGAAGGGAGGCTTATAAACTTCAGGCATAGTCTTGGTTCTGAAAACAGAAGGTGTTGGTTTGCCTCTTGTAGCTGATTGGTTTGCGGGTAATGGGGACCTTGGGCATCTCCCTAAGAGCCAGCCCTGGCTTCCCTTCCTTATATGTAATTGGGCGACAGGGCCTTGGCAATCCACTTCTGATTCTCATCTACAAAAGGGAGGATGAGCAGCTCTGAAGCAGGTGTCTTTCCGACACGGGCTGGTGCCAGAGGAGACGAAAGCAGCACAGGGCACTCTAGACTCTTTGCTGGCACTTTGGTGGGAGGGCTCGGAGGAGGGACAAGGCCAAGCCCTTCCAAGATGGGGTTAAGTTCCTAGGAGTGGGCCAACTCCTCTCCCTTGGGAAGGCTCTCCCTTTCTGAGGCTGAGCTGTGCTGTAGACGCCCTCTCATGAGGAACTGGTCTGCGCTCAGCTCATCATCCATCCAGTGACTTCTCTTTATGGCATTCCCCCTAACGACCCAGATGCTTGTGCAGTGGTGTGGCTGTGGGTGGGACATTTGCCAGTTCCCCTAAGGGGTCCTAACCTTTCCTCACCCAGAGATGATGACAGTCCAGCTGTGAGCTGCAGCTCTGTGTGTGTGTGTGTGTGTGGGGGGGTGCTCACAGGGCTCCCTTCTCTGTATAATAGTGACTGACGTCCACCCACTGGTCCCACGGTCACTAGCAGAGCAGGTGGCCAGCTACATCAAGAGGCCCTCTGAAGAGCTACATGGGCTAGGCCCTCCCTGGCCCCGTGAGGCTGAGGGCTCAGTGGACCATGTGATTCCAAGATACTGGAGCCCTTGCTGCAGGGCCGGGGAGCAGGGATGGGAACATGCCTTGGCAACTGTTTTCATTTTCTCGAGCTGGAACTTTAGAAGTTGGGTAGAAAACTAAAAATCTAACGAAAGGGGAAAAATGTGATGAGTAGGAACCCAACGAAGCAGAACCCACAATTAACAAGATTTCTCTATAATTTGATGGCTCCCCAGAGAAGAACATACTCCTGAAAAGGACTAATTATACATTTGTTTATTCAGGCTGTAAATAGCATTTTGACAGCTGGTTTTGGGTTGGGAAGGTCTTCTTGAGGCCATCTTAGCCCACCCTCTGCCTTATCAGAAATCTCCACCAAGCAGACACTGCACTGGGGGGTTGACACTGTGATTCCCACCGGGCAAAACTTATATAAGGAGACAGGTCATTCCCAGTGGGGGAATCTGAAAACATCTTGCTATTTCTCCACATTTTGTTAGGAAGATTTACAGTTAACACATAGAAGATAAGGGATAAAAGATGTCAAAGATGATGAACCAAACATAAACCACTCAGTTGATGGACAAGGAGGAAGACTTTCTAGCCTACTCCCAGCAGGCCAAGAAATGGTAAATTTTCCCCTTGTAGATGGTCCAATCTTAACCTCAGCCAGTTGTATGTCTGTGTACCTCATGGCATCAAAACAAAAACAGCAAAAAGCAAAAAAAGCCTGTCATTTGTGACCCCAGGCATAGACCTTAAGCTTGAATTAGTGTTAAATGCATATCTGTCTAACTAACTAACATGTACTCACAGGGTTCATTTGGGGGCTGGGGCGGGGACATGGGGATGTGGGCCCTGATGTAATCATTGGGGTGTGTGTGTGTGTGTGTGTCCATGTACATATTCACTGGGTATCTTTGGGTCTCTGGATGTGTGTGTTGTATTTTTTGTTGTCATTTTGTATTATTGGGTGTTTCTGTGTGGTGTGGCGTGGTGTGAGGACCTGGGTTTGGTTCTGAAGGTAAAGTTGATTATAATGTTCCCATGGGGAGGGTGATGAAAATCAGGAGAGTTTCACAAGAAATGGGGTTCAGGGACCCCAGGGCCCAGTGTCACATTTCAGGAGGGTGGCAAGGTATGTCTTGAGCCCTGGTGGGAATCTGCCATTTTTTCCCAGGGTGGGTGGGTGTGTTTGAATGACAGGTCCAACCTAGGAGGAGGCATCGCACCAGACGTGAAAACACCAGTGATCCCTGCATGACAGAAGCGCCTGTGATCCTGCGTGTGTCCTGTGTTCACCCTCTGCCCACTCAGCCTTGGGGAGAGAACGCCTTCACACACGGCCTTAGAATGCAACCACCACCAAGTGAATTTATGTATTTATTAAATAGCTTACCTAAGAAAACCAAGAAAACAAACCTGTATCACCAACATTTACATGTCTTGGTAGACATCTAGCTCATGTAAAATATGTACCTTATACAGGGAGTACATCTTTTTTTCTTTAACTTTTTGTAATGAATGCACTAAGCAACTTTTATTTTACATGTCTTTACAGGAAAATAATTTGCTGTTGCGGTGTAATAAACTATTGTAATTTTCTAATTTTTTTTTCATTAAAGTCTCTGGCATGTTTGCAACTGTGTTTAAGTCTTTCTCCTGCGAACAGCCAGTAGGTGGGCACCCCGATGGTTTGTCACGTGTGTGACCATCCCCTCGCCCCCCGCACAGGGCCTGCAAAGATACCCTGCTCACGTTTTGGAGAGCAAACTTTTTTCTTCCACTACATGGAAACCATCTGGGCTGCTAGGCACCCAGGGGTTCTTAGGCTTTGCAGGTCTGCTGGGGCTGGATGGGGTAGGGGGCTGCGGATCCAGGTCTGGTGGGGATATGTGGGGTGAGGGGCTGTGTACCCAGGTCCTCCAGGGATGAGTGGGGGATGGGAGGCTGCAGACCCAAACCCTCTGGGGATGTACGGGAAGGTGCTGCAGATCCAGGTCCACTGGGGATGTGTGGCGTGGGGGGCTGTGGACTGTGCCAGCTCATCCATGTCTTTCATCCACACTTTCCCAGGGACTCTAGTTTGCATAGCCTTTGCCTAGTTTAGTTTCCAACCAGCACTCCAAGCCTTGCTTGCCCACACATGGTTTCCTCCTCATGTGGGTGGGATCATCAAAGGCAGCTCCCTTTTCCAGCGACTCACATGGATGATATACATACCAGGTATACTCCGGACTCACCTTGGGGGATCTGGAATGTACTGAAGGATGAGAGACCATGTGACAAGGAGGCTCTGAGGTGGGGAGCAGTGTTCCACTAAACCCCTCAAGGTCCTAGCTTCCATTCTCCCTCTGCACAGATGAGGTTCCATAAGCAAATAAACAGGGAAGACACAGTAAGGTGATGAGTCAAATCCAACCACAAGGACAAGTACATTAAAGAAAAGCCTGAATGCTCTAAGCTGAATGGACCACACAGTTGTTTGTGGAAAGGAAGCTGAGGCCCATTTCCCTTCAGAAGAGCTGTATTAGAATGATTAGCCTCACAGTCATAGGTGGCCATGATGGGGCTTGAAGGGAGACATAGACCCTTCAGTTCCCTCCAGCTCCTGGAATATTAGGAGAACACGCCATCACAGACAGCATGACAGGGGCTCCTGAAGGGAAACATCTTTTGATTCCCTTTAGTTGGGAGAGGGTGGGAACTCAGCTCTGTGAGAGCTTCAAGGTCATTTCTTATGAGCTCTCTCCAAGGAGAAAGACTACAGGGGTGTGGCCTGATGAGAGAGAGAGAGAGAGAGAGAGAGAGAGAGAGAGAGAGAGAGAGAAGGAGGAGGAGGAGAATGCGCAGTGACTTTCAAGCACTGTCTATTTCAGAGCGGAGAGACGCCCAAGTGGTCCATGTTTATGCGCAATGCCTTTAAAGCACTGTACCTTTCAGGGCTCAGAGAGGCCCAAGTGGTCCATGTTTGTTCCTGGGCATTCTGGCTGCTCAGGGGGTCGGTGCCCAGCTTAGGGCTGGTTCACATCTCTGAATGAAGTAGGAGTCTACAAAACACACACACACGCACACACACACACACACACACACACACACACACACATTTTCAGATCTGGGTCTAATTCAGAGCTGAGCACTACCCAGTCCTTTTTAGACCTCTTTTTTACCACCAGGTTTTGTATGCACGACCTTCTGCACTTTAAGTCTGTCCTTTACTTTCAAGTCTCCATGTAACAGGGCTGAACACCACGTCAGGGATGGTGACCTTGCCATAGATGAAAGGGGCCACCTCCTCCACTGGCTCCTAACTCAGCTGGCAGTGGATGGGTGTGTGGGTGTGTGTCTGTGGGGGTGTGTGAAGGGATCAGAAAGGTGCTGGCTTTGGATGAAAAGGGGATCTTGTTTTCTTTTCCCTTTTTAATGAAAAGTTGGAGTTTGTAAAGGAAAGGACTTAACATTCATTGAAGCATGGGCGAAGAGGAGGAAGAGCGATGTGTGAACAATAGAGACCAGCACATGCCCTAGAGCTGGTGCAGGCTTCTCAAGAGTGTCCCACATCTTATCTGTAGTTGTGTCTGGAGCCAAAAGCAACAAAGAATGAACAGGTCTGTGACCCCAAGTGTGCCCGGGCTGCTTAAGTGCTCCAGGTTTAGTGGGTGGCAAAGCCTAGGTGTCCTGTAAAACGCCCTATGCCAAAGAACTAGAGTCTAGACTCTTGTGTAATTGACCATCTCTGCTTGAAAGCCTCAGCCATCAAGAATGAGTGATAAACCCCAACAGTCCAGTGGTGAAGGTCACCCTATCTTTAACTCTCTCACCTGGCCCACATGTGAGACCCAATGGAGAAGGCCACACAGAGGCCCAGGGCTTCCTCGTTCGGGCATTGAGTCTGCTTTTCAGGGACCACCACTGCTTAATCATGTTGCACTTGGGGGATTCCTATGAGTAAACGAGGCTCTGTTGAAGAATTAGCAAGATTAGCAGCTTACTGTGAGTCCAGGCACCTGCTGAGGTAACCAGCGAAGTCTCTGCAGTGAACATTAGCTCAGTGCATGCCGGGTGTGCCCATCAGCTGCTGCTCGAGGCTGTTTTTGTGTCAGCTGTCTGTACCCTTTGTCCATGTGACTACAGGATATGCCTTTGGGTGTACCAGGTCCCTGCCTCCTTCTGTACTGTCTTCCAAGACAGCCTAGCCTAGGATTCATTTTCAGACCCAGAACCCCTGGAATGAAGGAGAGGCAATGTCTCCTTGAGGAAGGACCCTGGTACACCGTCTAAACTTTGTACTGTTAATTTTTCTTGCAGGCTTCCTCAAGTGAAACCTTGTCCTGTGACCATGCACTGGAGAAACGGACATGATCAGGTGTTTTGGGGGTTATTAGACCCTGGCTCTGAACTGAACTGACTCTAGGAAACCCAGATGTCACTGGGGTGGAAATTCAAGGAAGGGGTGACAGGGGTCAGCATCCACAGAATGTTATCTCAGGTCCAACTCACAGGGGATCCAGGAGGGCCACTAGCCCACCCTGTGGCTTCTCCAGCTCTGGCATAGGTGCTTGGAGTGGACATACTCAGGGATGGGCAGGATGTTGGCATTGCTAGTGGGCCTTGCCCCAGCCACAGGGTGAGAGACTGTCACCTTGATTGTGCCTATTATGGTCACTTGTCCCTGGCTGCCAGTGATTGCTCCCAGAACAAACGTGTCCCAGATGGACCAGTTGGAACCATCCATTTTCTTTCCCATCTGGAGCCGGGAAGAAAGAGCTGTCTACTACAGGTTGGGGAATGGCACCTTTGGGCAGGCCTTTTGGAGGGAGTGAATCCAGCATTTGGGTATCTTGCAAGGCCCCAATGTTTAGGTCCTGGGTCAAGTCAACCTTGAGACCAGATTCCTGTAGCCTCTTCAACTGACTGATGACATGAGCTAATGAGATGGAATATGCCAGTGTGGGCTTGGACACTGTGACAGACACAGGTCTGAGACAAACACTGGGGTGAGGGGTGATTTGCTTTCCCTTCTAGGTCCCTCTTTACCCAATCTGCAGCCATGGAAACAAACTCATGTGACTTTCATTTAAGTTTGGCCAATGAGGGACTCTGGTAGGCCTTGAAGGAAAAGGACCAGGAGGACTCATTCCCTTCTTTCATCTAGAAGTTTCTTAATGTGAGCATCTCAGCCTCTGCACATCTCCCTGTCTATACAGCTTCTGGTTTCCAGACTCCTAGTGGTCCTTCTGGCTCAGGGAGACAGAGCACTCCTGTCATTAGCCCTGGCAGGGCCCTCTCCTTGATGGCATCTTAGACAATTCTAGTTCAGAATAGCATCTCTTCATTGGAGGACCTACATCATGGCCAAGGGGAGTGTGCCATCATCCCCTGGTGAACTCTGCTGTTCTGCGTGACTGCTCTACCCAGGCAGCTCCTCTAAATGGGTAGACTATCATCAGATAAGGATGTCTCATTCTGAGGTCTAGTGTGAGTTTGGGCCCTTGGGAAGGTCAGCTGGTCAAGAAAAGCTGTTGCTTAGTATAAGTTGCAGTATTCTGTGGTCAGCTCTGTGTGACTGATGCCAACGTTCCTATAGGACAATCTCCTGGGAACGGGCATCTGTAGCCGGTGAGGACGGTCCTGCTGTTGGAGTATGGTTCTGGAGGTCACACCAGTCCTCACAGGCTGCCCAGAGTCAGCTCATCCTCTGCTGGGAGCAACTCCAGGTCCCACATTATTTCAATTCGTCTTTTAGCAGAGCATGGCACACATGGTAGGGAGGTGTGGCAGGCTCATGTGGTCCCATGAACTCTGACCCAAATATCCATGGCCCCACATTAGTCTGACAGGCACCTTGGGGTTATTCCTACCCCACCTTACTACTTTCCTATCTTCTGCTGGCCTGTCTTTTGAAATTTGAATCAGTGGAGTAATAAGGGTACCCTTTTTAAAACACAGGCTCTTCTTCAAAAGAGCAACTATCTCCCCAGCCTCCTCCACACTGCATGCACTGGGGTGTCTGCTCATTCCTGCACCTTGTGCGAGTCTGCAGACTCACCAGCCCACTGCGTGTGTGTGTGCACATGCAGGCCAGAGATCAACATCCATGTGTTCCTCACGCACCCTTCACCTTATTTTTCCCAGATATATTTTGTAACACCGAAGACTTCTACTTTTTTTGAATATCATGAATGAGTAGTCTTTGCATTATTTCCAACTCTGCTAGCCTCCCTTTAACTCTTCCCCATGTCCCCCTCAACTCCCTTTCAGTTTGTCCTCCTTGATTGTTACATATACACATACATACGTACATACATACATCCACCCCATCTAATTCACTGAGTCCTTTGGTGGTGCTCATGTATAACTGTGTTTGGGGATGACCACTTGGGATTAGATAACCCCTCAGGGAGCTAGTCCCTGGAGAAAACATTCTCCTTACCTTAGAGGTGGGAGCCCTTGAAACTTCCCCCCTCCACCTTGGTATGTCAACTGGTCTTATCTACGTGCAGATCTTGTTAGACAACACCACTGTGGAGAGTTGACTGGTGCGGCTTCACTGTCATGTCTAGAATGTACTAATTAGCAGCAGGGGTCTTGTCCCTTGGGCTCTTACATTCTTTACACTCCCTCC